TTTTTCACTGAAAAAAAAATCGCTCAATTTAAGTTTCCTCGCTGACGCCGAAAAAAAAGAATTTTAATAAAATTCTAATATATATATATATATATATATATATATATATATATATATATATATATATAATATCCTTTGATCTTTCCTCTTAAGAATAACACAAAGATTTTGACGATAAAATTTTGTTTTTATTATGTTCAGGGCATTTTTCATCCTGTATCCTCTTTCTAAGCGAATTTTGAAAAGTACCTAATATACGTATATTATTAATTATACCCCCCCCCCCCTTGAGGGAGTTGTGAACTCTCAAGGAGGAAGCGAGTGCTCAAGGGTGTTAAGGAAAGTGCGATAATTTTAACAAGGCAGTAAAATGATTTAATCTTTTAGATAATGACGGGGAAAAATCATGATATTTTATATACGCATTTGTTTATAATATAATATAATATAAGATGCGTATATACACACGCATATATATATATATACATAATGCATAGAAAGGGGGTGGATTTTTTATTTATTAATCCGACAGATTTTTATGACTTAACTTTGATTTTTAATGGATAATCGTATTTGAACAGACGCTTCGTTTATTTATTAAACAGTATATTTTTTTTTAGTTTCGTCTACTGCTCTGAATATTCGAGAAATATTATTAAAGAAAAATATGCGCTCTAATAAAATATATATATATATATATATATATATATGTATATATATCTAACGATTATCTTTAGTAATGTATAAGTGGTTAAATCAATAATGATGAAATTAATTATTCCACAAAGAATTATTTTAAACATAATCTTTTTTAGTGTTAATGCCCTTAATCTCTCCATAAATCGCTTGCATCAAACGTTACACAGTAAAAATGTCAGCACCAAATTTATTTAGCTGTGTAAGGCTACGGAATTATTAATCAGTCGTATCATTTATATATATATATATATATATATATATATACAAACACACACACACATATATATGTATACATATATATATATATATATATACAAGTACAGGATTGGTACAGATGGTATAAATTCCAATGACCAAAAAACATTGTTCATAAAAAACACTATTCTGTTCAATATTATTCATATATATATATATATATATATATATATATATATATATATATATATATATATATATATATATATATTATTCATTCGAAAATTATAACAATATATGTTATGAAATCACAAAAAATATAACCATTTTGTTCCAACACTTCTGGTGTCTTATCAAGTGATGGTCTTTAATGTAGAATAAACATATTTATGTTATAATTTTCGAATAAATAATTATATTTGCTCTACTCTGTATTGAGCACTCTTTTAAGAATAGTATTTTTTGTTATTGGAATTTATTCTTTATACACAAATCCTATACTTGAGTATATATATATATATATATATATATATATATATATATATATATATATGGGTGTAATAAAAAGTTCTCGGTCCGAGCAAATTCCCAAAATCTGAGATAGATAGATAGATATGAACAGACTGACAGATAGATAGATAGATAGATAGATAGATAGATAGATAGATAGATAGATAGATTTGAGAGGTGGAGGAGAATGAGAAACGTAACGAATACATTCGAAATAGCTAAAAATAAAATAAAGCAAAAAGAAAAATATAAATAGAAACGTTTACCCTTCTCACAAAATGGCGTGGTAAACAAGAAACTCCCTAAATTGTTACTTTTTTGTTGCATTTTTGGTTGGTCTTTTGTGAGAGCGAATCTTATAAATGAAGTTGTCGCAGATGCAAGATGGCCGCCAGTGGTAGCGCCTTTGCCATTTGTTTAAATGCAACAACGGGAAGCACTTGCATTGAATTACGTCAGCCGTCAGTAATGTCTTATTTGATGATTCCTTTATTATTTATGTTCTCATCTTTTCTCTCTTCAATATTCTTTTCATTTTCTTGCAAGCGTGACAGAAAATAATATACTAAAATGTTCACAAACACGCATGCGCGCGCAACCTCAA